CAGTTTGAAATGGGCAATCCTTATCCTGGGAAAAACTCATTTAAATCAATTTTTTCTAGCAGTAATTTTTCCGACCTACCAACCATTAATCCCAAGCTGGGGAGTGGGTTTGTCAAAGTCTGCCATCTGAGTACCCACTACCTGGTTGTGTAAGCAATTTAAAACTGTCAAGAATGCTGATAGGTGGCGAGGCTGGCCAGGAGGTGATAAATTAGGTTATCCACCATGGCATTTATCTGTTGAAAAATATTTGGTAAAAGTAGTGAAAATAAGATTTAAAAAATCACTTGTCCTTAGGCAAGTTCAAGTTCAGAAGTGGTTTATTTACTTTTGTGTGAAAATTGTTTGATTACAAAAGTCTTATGCTTTAAATAGGTATATTTCAATCGATACTGTTATAGATATTCATTGTTTGTAACCTTATACTTAGTGCATATTTGATATTATGCTTAAACTGTTTTCCATTTTATATAGCTTATTAGTAAATATGTATTTTTAAGGAGGTAATAAAGTGATCAACTGTGTACGTGCGTAGCTTTGTTGCTTTTTGTTAGTCACATGAATATCACTGAATATTCCAATGTCATCTATAAACAGAACAGAATGCTGCAATTGATAAATTCTATGTTCATTTAACTTTTTTAACAGGGTGAAATATACAAAGTAATTAGTAGAATGACGGGAAATCTGAGAATTCGTCACAGAAACTAGGGGATTATTGGAATTTTTTCTACAGGGCAATGTTTTTTTTTTTTTTTTTTTACAAAATACTGTGGAGGCAGTTCAGAATGAACAGCTCTTTAGGTTAAGAAAAAGTCGAAATTTGATGTAGGATTTATGTCATGGTTTAAAGGTCTACTTTTGCAGCAAATACCCCCCCTCCCCTTTCTCTTTGAAATGGCTGGCTACAGACCTCTCTATGGTGGAATACTGTCATGACTGTCTGTTTATCAATGAGTACCTTCCAGGGCAACATTTTCAGTAGACTGATATTTCGTTGTGAATTTGTAAATACTGGTAAGCCACAGTATAATTCTATAAAAAAAATGAAGCCTTATTGAAAAATATCCAATTCAACTGATATTCATGAAAGTTGCATTAATTTCAGATAGTTACTAGCTGTCCGAGGAAATAGGAAGTTTTCCATTAGACCAAACCATCTTCTTTCTTAGAAGAAAAAACTTGTAGCCGTGGTCTCCAAGTGCCACCCTACTGTGTCATTTTATGCAAAATGAACAAAAGCAGGAACCCAAACTTTCATACTCCAGAGTGTGTTGAAATAATAAAGGAATACCAAGAATGCAGGGAAAATGTGAGCTGCTATATAATTACACATCCATATATGTTGTCAGATCTTAATTCCTATCTTAATGGATTTTTGACAATTAATTTGATGTGTTGGAATATGTCAGATGGTAAGAATAGTGAGAAACCTTAACTCTCAAATGTGTCTCGACAGTCCTTGACATTATGTTCTTATCCATTCCAACTTATAGTAAAATTGCTCATATCAAAATACATAGCACATCATAAGATGCTATTCTTTTGATATATATTTGTGCATTTTGATATATTAAGTAATTTTACTATAATAGTTATGGCACAGAGATGGAAAAATTTTTTGTTTACATTTCAGTTTATTGTTGGACACTTAACTGGTGCCTGTCAGAGGCTACAGAGGAAAATGGTCAGGTGTTTTGAAAAAGAGGTCAGTATACTGTTATAGGCAGAATTCACAACCAAAGTTGATCCGCAGTAACAGATGATTGTATCAAATATGGCTGACCCACTTGATAGTACAGTAATGACTCGATATTTTCAGTGGGCAAAAATTTTCTAACTTTCAGATACATCATTTGAAAACCATAAAAATTATATTTTTGTATAGCAGTTGTGGTGGTTTTAATGCATAGAATAGAGCTATCAGGTAGTCTGCTTTTCAATTTTGTTGCCACCACTCAATAGGATTGCTCTTATGTTAAGAAATTTATATAATATTTATATATCTTTTAATTGGTAGTTTATTTTATACTGGTTTTTATGTATTTTATGTTTTTTAAAAGAATATGCAACACTTTTTAAATATATAGTGGGCAGTCACAAAGCAAGTACATTTTTGGGTTACCTATATTAATAGTTATAATTATTATTATTAAACTTTGATGTGTATAATTTGCAGACCATAGAAAAAAGGAAGGCCAGAGCACAAAAATCACAAGAAATTGCGGAGAAAGTTCGTTTACAGTATATAAGGGAGGGGAAGGATCCGAATGGACCTAAAGCAGTTGTCCCTTGGAAAATAAAAGATCAGCAGGAGGCCTTTCTTGGAGACAAGATACATGGTTCAAATAATAATGACAAGAACAGCACTGTGTCATAGATGGTCTCATTGAAACATTTTTATGATTCAACATGTTTGCAAGTTGTTGTCATTGAGCAGACTGTGCTGCCAGTCATGCAATGCGTCCTATAAACGGGCTTCAGATTTGTGTGCACAAAGGCTCAAATTCATGATTCAAGCCACAAATTAAGTACCCCAATGTAAAATTAGTTGCCACAAGCCCAGTGTTAGATAACATGAACTGATTATTTGCTCATTCACCTGTTCGGTACATTTCCAATGAGCCGTAGACTGTCAAGATGCATTGCTGCCTTATTAACATACAGTATGGTTGATAAAAAGAACCTTGAGGGAGCCTATGTATACAGCCAGAGACCTGGATGGAAGCTGGCCAAATTGTTTGATATCAAAAGCTGGGTTTGTGGAAACCGATTTTACGTTAGGGTACATAATTTGTGGCTGGTGTCATTAATTTGTGCATTTGTGCTCCCAAATCTAAGGCTCACGTTAGCACATGGCAATTATTGCTTATGAGACCTGAACTTGGTACAACAAAAATTTTTTTTTGTCTGTAAGTGTCAATATTTTCCCTTAATCACCATGATAAACCAGCATATCTCAAGTTCTCTGTTTCAGGTTCAAAGTTGGCAAAACTAAGAATCATTCACCAGTTTTGAAATTTTAGTCATGTGATTGAGGTGGAGGCTGGTGAATTTTACTCATAATAGAAATGTTAGAAATTAACATCTAAAATGTTTGTGGATTGTGGCTGTTTAAAAGGTATAAAAATATTGTGTACCTTGATGAGAAAGGGAATATTACTGAAAATTTCAGGATTTATTTGCTAATATAATGGCCTAAAGCCCATTGTTAGCCTTTTTTTTAGGTAAATCCAGTTTTACCAGCACTGAGTGGAATGATCTTTGAAAAGTTCTATCATGTGGTAGAGCTCAAAGAATTATAGCAGACGTTGAAATTACTGGTATTTAAAGAAAAGAAAAGAAAAATTGCTGAATAAAACTTGTGTGTGTTATGTTGCTTTTACCATTTTACCAACAAAAAAAAAATAATAATAATAAATAAAATAATAATAAAAATAAATAATAATAATAATAAAGAAAAAGAAAAAAATGACTCAAGTATTTTAATACAGCAGTGGAACTGGTTCTATTACAAAGAATCCATACACCTTAACTAAACAAACTGAGGATCATTACCTGCACCCATTTTCAACTTCCTCTTTTTGCACATAGTCTTGAAATATAGGATCAGAGACCATAGGTCCCAGTTCTTCATTGCGGTGTGCAAAANTTTCAACTTCCTCTTTTTGCACATAGTCTTGAAATATAGGATCAGAGACCATAGGTCCCAGTTCTTCATTGCGGTGTGCAAAAAAAAAAAAAAAAAAACCTAGACAAAGTGATGTCCAAAGACAATATCTTTTTATTTTGAAAATGAGTGTTTTACATTGTTTAGTGTACATTTAATTTATAAAGACTCCTGTCCAGTTGTTCACTTTTAAGACCCAATCATCTGCTCTTCTTAAACTGCTCATTGATGGTTTTGTAGTGCTGCCAGGCCAGTCGATCTTTTGTTCCATCATTCCAAGTCTGTATACCCTCCTCCCGTCCCAGTAATGCCATGACAGCAGCTCTGTTTCTAATCAATTTCTCCTCAACATAGTATCTCTTCCCAACCAATACCATACTCGTCATCAATCCTTTTGTTATTTGGACATCCTGGGGTGTGAAAGAAACACTTTTTCTGTGACCAAAGGGAGTCATTGTCACTGCAGTAAAGTTCTCTGTTTCAGGTTCAAAGTACAACTCTGTGACGTAACGTTTTAAATACCTATAGGTTACCAGTGGTAACCAGCAGGCAAAAAGTGACAATAACATTGTTGAAACTTCCATAACTTCTGTCTCTGCATCAAGAAGGGACACAAGTCTCAATGTTGCCATGATCCCCAGTGGGTAATAACTATAACGGAGGCCATTTCTGAAGGCTTGGGTGAGTTTTCCATCATATACACACACTGCTGATGCAGGCACAGAGTGAGAGTTGGAAAACAAATGGCGGACTTGGTGAAGTGGAGAAGACGAAGGACGAACACTCTCTTGATTTACTATCTGGTTATTATCCAGTGAGCCTGAAAGGACAGAAGGTGGCTGGAATTTTTATAGGTTTTAGCCATTCAAAACTTCAGTAAGATGATCAAAAATAGTTGACCATTTTGAAGAAGAGTCAATTTAAAACTCTCCTCTCCTGTGTGAATATTAATTCAACATCGGCATTTTCAGCAAAATCTGGATAGCCACAAAACACTATTTGAAAATAAAGCTGTTGGCTGAACAATCTGAATATATGTATATATACCAGTCATGTAAACATACAAGCTACAACTTTTAATTCCAGTTACCTTGTCTCCTATGGCCTTTAAATATGTCTTAATAAAACAATTGACTACAAACAAAGCAAACTGCCTCAATACTTGTATCATTCCCATTTTTAATTTATAATTCTGCTACTGTAATTAGTTTGAAAAGGGACCCTGTTTTTTATCTGGTCTATCAAAGATAGATGGCTTTTTCTGTCCAGTAAGAAGAAAATATGCCTCTCTGGAGTGAACATCATCAAAATTAATGAAAAGATTTTTATCCTTTACTTTGAGATTTGTTAAATGTTCAAAACCAAAGTTTCTGACTATGTCGGATGACATAAAAGTTGTATACTCCTTTTTATGTTTGGGCGAAAATGTAACTGCTGTAAACTGCTTGGTGCTTGGATTAAAATACAACTGTGTCACATAATTTGTCAATGCTCTAACAATAGCTTTTGTAACAATAGGGACCTCGATCATAAACACCAATGAACATATCTTCACAAATAGTGAAATTTCTGGTTGGATTACTAATGCTGCACATGCCCCAGTCAAGGTAAGAGGGACAACAACACAGGCACCCTTCATTACTATGACAGCACCATCCAAAGTTCCCTTATACACAGACATCCCTCGAGACTTTTCAGCTCTTTTATCCAAGTCATCCGTGCTGGAATACCAACGAACTTGCTGATTTTGAGTAAGACTCCATTGTGGTATCAAATCATCTGAAGATGGATTATTACCGGAAGGTCTCATTCTCCTTGTATATAACTGTGGAGCACCTGCTGTGGTAACGCTGGTACGGACCCATCTGTAGTTACACATCCGAAGGCATTGAGGTGGTATAGAAAATGTACTGCGAGTAAGAGCAGTCAGCATGGAGCTCATCTAGAAAAGAAATATATGACGCCTTTGATAAATATTCATACAAAATCATGGGCAGACGAAGTAATTAAAGGTAAATGAAGGATTTTTTTCCTTTGCAGCCAATAAATAAAATACATCATAACATGTAAGTGATGTACTACCCCCTTCACACACACACGTAATACCCCTCATTTTGTTGAATTCCTGGTACCGAATAGGCAGCGACTAGTATAGTACTATACTTTATAGTGACATAAAGGTGACACAAAACCCTCTACTAGGCACAACCATTCCATGGCACAACAGATCGGCAACACCAAAAGAGCAAATTCAAATATCTCACCCCGAGCCCAGTGCCAAGTAGCGCCATCTCTCCCTTATAGTACTTCTCCTGGATCTCTTATAATCAGCTGTTAAATACAGGTAAACATGGGAATGTGGATTTATAAAATCCGCAGTTACATTGACCAAACTTGCGTGGTGGTAGCCATTTTGCTGAGCTCTAACACGCGCCTATACTTTAATAGTTTCAAAATGGAGTGAGTTTTACAACATCCGGATATGTGATATTTCGGTAGTCGTTTAAGTGACGATTAAAATTAAGTATCTGATACACTTGTCACAATATTAACACATAACTGTGATAAAAAATTTCAGTGAAAAATAATCCTTTCTGGAAAACTTAAATTATTCCTCGTGTGGTACTGTGTGTAGTTTGGGGTCTTCACAGGGACAGTCGGGCTGACGTCACACGCCTTAGCAACTGGCATTTGGGGTAAAACAATGCGGGCAATATGGCGGATCACATTGACTTCTATGTAAAAGTTGGCAGACTTTGTCCACAGATATCATAGACGGTGCTTGACCACTTGTGTCAGTGAAGAGTTATTTACCTGGTTAATTTCCTTTACATGCCTTTGTAATTAGCCGCTGCACACCTGGTTAAGAGACAAAACCGGTTTTAACTTTTGATCGTTATCTGTGATCGAGAATTTTACAGTAGAATTCTGAAAGACGGTGCTTGACCTTTTGTGTCTGGCAGGTTGCATCATTCACCTGGATCATTGCCTTAACAGGCCTTTGTAATAAGCCGCTGTTTAACTAGTTACAAGATAAAATCAGCCTTAATTAACTGCATACCCAAACGGAGTCATATGTGGATACTCCCCCGCACCGGCCATTACTCCCCCACACCGATACTCCCCCGCACTGATACTCCCCCTCAGTAATTTTTTGTATAATGCGCATCGATACGAACCCACACCCATAGATCCCTGCACCGGTACATCCCCTCACCGATACTCCCCCTCTGTAATTGTGGGGAAGTATTGGTGTGGGGATATACCGGTGCGAGGGAGTATCGGTACAGGGATGTATCGACGGGGGCGTCTCGATAGTCCGAAGGTTCATTGGTCCGAAGGTTCATTGGTCCGAAAAGTGGTAACATTTTCATCGATTTTTTAATCAAGGGTTCATTGGTCCGAAGGTTAATTCTATAGTGAACATTCGGACCAATGAACCTTCGGACTATTGAACCTTCGGACTATGTAACCATGCAAACTGCATATGCAAATGTCGTCTAACACACAAAAAAAGGAACATAAATATGTTACTGTAACAAATGCAAAACATTCAGATCTGGAAACGTTTTATTCACTTTGAAAATTCAATCATCCCTGGGTTGTATTTTGTTTATCTCCTACAAGTATAATGTAAAAATTAAATTAATTTTCTTGCAGTTATACCGGTAATTGTTTTTGAGCGACTTTAGTTTCACTGAATATTAAAAACGGGGGAAAAACACTTTACTGACAGTAAAATATCAGGAATGGCAAACTATCATGGAATCACAATATAAATTTTAAGTCAACAACAGAAAACCCTAGCTGTTTCTATTGCACCAAGTACTTGGGTAAGATGAATCTTTGACAATTTTTCTGGGGAATATACGTTACATTGTATTAGCCATGATGCAAAGCCCCGGAGTTACAGTTTAAATATTTATAAAAACATTCTTGCACCATGTTTAATTTAACATGATTAATTACTACAAAATATATCGGTACGTGATATAAAAATTCAAATTAAATGACCCGGAACATACGTAACAATTTAGGCTCCTTACATGCTATCTTTTTCCTCCAACCTTCTTTTCTGCTCTTTAAGCTTCTTTCCCTTGTCTTTTGTATCTGAATTGTAGATTAAAATCTGAATTGAGCAATTGTCGAGACACGAGCATGCGTCGTGAGCACGCCTTTTATACTCGCAGTCCCGTCGTGTTTTCGACTTTGTTCGTTATAGATGTGAAGGGCGTGCGCCGTACTCAACACGCAAAGGGCACTTTCTCCTTCATTTCTTGCGGCGTGCATCTTGGACCAGGCAAGTCTCACTTGCAAACCCCTCGCAAACTTCTTAGGAAGGGAGCAAGTTACGCTTACGACCTCGCTGTTCGCAGATTATTCGTAGAATCTATTGGAAATGTTCAATATCCTCCGTACGTGCTAACAATTAAACATACGTGCGAACTCGAAATTTCGCATAAAGGACTTGCGTGGTACATGAGATTCTCTGCAAAATTTGGACTTAATCGGGGGGTAGATTTTGATCCACTTGTGTACGTAGACTGACCCTTACATGTATTATTAAATGGAGGGTTGACTCTGTTATTCGATCCTCAGTTTCGTGGAAATTGCATAGGGGGAGTAACGGTGCGGGGAAACAACAACGCGGGGGAGTATCGGTGCGGGGGAGTAACGGTGCGCGTATAACGGCAATTTTACAGGGGGTTTATCGATGCGGGGATCTATCGGTGTGGGGTCGTATCGATGTGCATAATGCAAAAATTTACTAAGGGGGAGTATCGGTGCGGGGGAGTA